AGAGGCTCAGCCTCTGGGTCTGAATCTGGCCCTGAAACGTTTCCCTGGGAGGCCCTGCCTCTTGGTCCAAGTGGCCTGGCCGTACCTGGGCAAAATGGACAACAGCACACACGTTAGAAAAACAACAGCAATAAATAAAAAAATAAAAATAAACTAAAGCTGGCGTTTTTCAGATGCAGGCCCAAGTAAAAATGTCGTAGGGCCTTCAGGTTGCTGTGACGCGACCTGGGGGCCCTTATTCCAATCTCGGGTCCCGTGAGGGGCCCGTGTGTAGGCTCTCAGCATGTAACATCATCAATGAAGAACCAATGTTGATATCCTATCTGGCGCTCGGCGCCCAGACTACAGATGGCAGATCCTATCTAGCCTAGACTACAATGCCGAATAATGACGTCAACAGCTTTCCCGAAGTACGAGCATACAGCGACCAATGTCGCACGCTTCCAGCACCAGGTATGTCTCTCGCCTCACTCACAACCTCGTTCCCCAACACACAGATGTCACTTGCACCCAGGGACCACCCTGCGCCACACCCAGCTTACAGCAGCGCAGCTCGGCTATGGCTGCCTGCTCCTTCCCTGCTCGCTCGGGAGCGCGTAAGCGCCTGCCAGCAAAATAACGCAGCAGCACTTGCGCAGCATGCAGCCAGCACCCGAATGCCGAATGAGGAGGCAGGCCCTTTGCTATATCGAAGTGGCCTGCCTGCGTCCAGTCCCAGGAAGCTTCCAGTAGGCCCCGGTAGCCTGAGGCCCAGCACGATCGAGAACAGGCCTGGGCCCTGAGGTGGTTGCATGCACCCAACTGCCTTTGGCATGTGTTTGGCCCAGTACCCGTATCCAGCCCAGGGCCTGCTTTCCATTCATTCACACAGGCGGCCCAGGGCCTGGGTTCTCCCAACCAACTGGCGCTGCGCAACTCCTGAATTTCCCTAGTTGCGCAGAGGACGAAATAAGGGCCTGAGGGGCCTCGTCGAGCCTGCCTTCACTTAGGGCGGCCGACAGGTTCCCAAAAAGGGGCCGAATGGGGCTCATAGAGGCAGTGGCCTCGCACTTGCACACTTGAGATGAAAAATGGAGTTTGGAATGCTTGAAGTAATCACTCAAAGTTATTATTAAGTTCAATGAAAGAATGGAAAGAATAGCGCTAATCAGCACTGCACCTTAGTGCACACACACACAACCCAACTAGGTGTGAAGTCGGCTCTCTACCTCCCCCCAGCTTAGGCATGTTCTCTCTCTCTCTTCCTGTCTCACCCTCCTCTCTTCTCTCTCTCTCTCTCTCTCTCTCTCTCTCTCTCTCTCTCTCTCTCTCTCTCTCNTCTCTCGTAGGCCTGACTCTTTTGCGCTGATCTCCTCTACTCACTCCTTTGGAGAGGAGACCCGTCAGACCATTGCTCGTCTACTGCCTCAGGACAAGACTTTTGGACCCATTGTCAAGGATCTGCAAGCATATCCTAATTCTGAACCAGGCTATGCTCTGAGTTCAAACCTGCTGTATACTTGCAGCAGAGGTGAGGAACGCTTGTGCATTCCCCAAGATCAGCGGCTCAGAACACTGCCGATGTCAGAGTGCCATGATCCCCGTGGACACTTCATGTTCCTAAAGTCTTATGCAGCCCTGTCGGAGCGCTTCTTCTGGAAGGAGATGCGGAGTGAGATGCTGCGTTATGCGGACACCTGTGAGCTCTGCCAAAGGAACAAGGTCCAGCGTAAACCTCCTTTGGGACTGCTAAACCCTTACCCATACCTGATGGCCTTGCTGAATCTGTGTCGATAGACTTCACAGATTTAGGCAAAACCACCCCTCGTGGCATGCGTCAGGTTATGGTCTGCGTGGACAGGTTCTCCAAATACGCAAAGTTCATCCCCTTGCCAGAGGTAGCTAGGGTACCGGCTGTGAGAGCAGCCTTTTCTGAGAGGTGGGTCACACACCATGGACCCCCCACTTCTATAGTCAGTGATCGAGACCCCGGATTTTGCAGCGATGAGTGGCCGTCCTACTGTAAGGACTATCTGCACTCACGACTGGACATGACTTCTGGTGACCATCCTGAAGCCAATGGGTTGGCTGAAGTGATGAACCAAGTCTTATTCCAGCTGCTGCGTCCTGTCATCTCTCCAGATCAACATGACTGGGATCTTCACTTAGCGAGGGCACAACTCATGTATAACATGTCTCTCCACTCCTCGACAGGGTTCAGTCCCTACCGGTTACACTGGGGGCGTGAACCACGACAGCCTCTTGATGATATCATCGACAAGGCTAAGCCTGATCTGACACAAGGCACAACAAAGTTCGCCAGACGTTATCGTTTAGATGTGGAAAGAGCCCACGCGAATTGTTCAAAGCCCAAAAGGCTATGATTGAACAAGCTAATCGCCACAGRCGGCCTTCCCCCATCCGCACTGGTGATCATGTCTGGGTGGCCAGTTCTGAGCTGTCGAGGGAGGAGGATATCTCCTCCAAGCTGTTGCCACGTTACCTGGGTCCATGGCAGGTCCTGGATACAGTGGGCGCTGATCCCTTCGGTCCGTCGTATGTTATCGACGTCCCACTGCATCTACGTACCTACCCGGTCTTCCATGCACCTAAGCTGTTCCCATTCACTCCAGCTGATGCATTCCCAGACCGGCCCCCTCAGTTTGGTCCACCAATCCCTGGTAAGGGATATGATATCGACCGGATTGAGGATGAGTGGGGCACAGGCCCCGACCGACAGTATCTTGTCAGGTTCGCGTTTCAGCCTCCTTCTTAGAGCCGGTGGTTCTACAGAAGAGACCTGCTCAAGACAACAAAGTCCATTGTCTTGCGATATGAAGCGGCTCAGAAGGGCAACCTTCCTCGCCGTTCACCTCGCCTGCATCCCTAGCTCGGAGGTCCTCGCTCCTGGGGAGGGTAAGCCTGCAATGACTTGCTGATTTCTACCGCCGAGATTGACTGCGAGGCTGTACACTAACCGGTACGGTTAGATTCGTAATTTTGTTTGGCTGAGGGCTAACCGAGAGACCTGCCTGTAAGGAGATTCGTGAGGGACATATCTGCAAATCTGGGGAAATACAGGCCCAGCACTAACCCTAATTCCTACAGCTACCCTAACTGCCTATAGCAGGCCCGGGCTACCCCTAGGATAGACAGACCCTAAGTGGCCTATGCTGCTAGACGGTCCTATAGCCTATAGCCGGGTCCGGTAGAGGCCGAGAGGCCGAAACAACAACGGTACCGGTCGGTCAGTTATTCCAGCATAGGTCTAGAGAGTCTATAGATAGGTTAGGCCCATCGGTTCATGACTTTTGGCAGTTCATTTCTCGCGAAGCAGCGTTGGAGAAGCCAAGCAAGTTGGTGGTGGTATCGGTCTACAGGCGGCATCTTGAGACTCGCCATTGACAGCAGCCATAGTCGACCCACCTGAGTCTGCCAGAGCTGGGG